GTAAGAAGTGTTGATGTTTTATGGCAAGAGGTTTGTTCAGAACTAATCAGTCCATGTAGGGGTTTATTTGCTAATTGGTCAGGATCAAAACTTATAAAAAACATTTGGAAAACAGTCATCTGTGATTATACTGCAGGAAAAAACCCTTATGATGAATCAGAAGCGTTGATGTTTGAGAAAGCTTGTCAACCTGCATATAAACTTGTGTGGGAAGAAATACAATTAAAATATGTCTTTCTATAGTAAACGAAAAAAAGCTTCTCCCAACAAGAAAAAACCGGATGGCATAGGTCTTATTAGGTCATAACTGATACTTTGAGACTTGAAAATCCAGACTAGGTCCAAAGGCATCCAAATGTGTGCAGTGACATTTCTTTAGAAAGATTAGACATTACTCAGAAAGTTTTAGGTCATCCCCACATAGATACAAAATGATGTTTTTTTCTTTAATCTTTCTTTCGTCTGTTCTTTTATTTTATAAATGTCTGGTGAAGAGGATTAGCCTAATCACCCTGCGATACTGTGAGGCAGTTTGCTTACGTTGTATTTTTGTATTTATATACTTATACATAAATACCTACATAGTAAAATGTAAACCAACTTCGAAAACCCTGGGTAATGAACTATTTCTTGTTCATGAACTAAACATTCCACAAAAATGTGCTCTTGTCCTACACTGTATTTGCCTGATTATATAGCACTGCTAATGTTGTAATAAAAACACTTGTTTAATTAACAGTTTTCCATAGAAGATTGTAAGCTCTGAGGAAGGAATCATGTCTATCTTATTCACTGCTTCTTTGCCAGCACTTAAGAAAGATCCTGATCCCTGGCCATATAAAGAAAAAAAAGTGAAAGGTAGAGATAAAGAGAAAGGAAAGAAGGAAGGGAGGAAGAATAGAAAGAATGAAAGAGAGGGAAAGAGGGAAGGATGGATGGGAAGAGAAAGGAGAGAGGAAGGGAAAGAAGAGAAAAAGAGAGAGCAGAAGCAAAAAATAAACCGGACATATATACAATGGAATATTACTCAGCCATAAAAAGAAATGGAGTTATTTGTAGTGAGATGGATGGACCTAGAGTCTGTCATACAGAGTGAAGTAAGTCAGAAAGAGAAAGACAAATACCATATGCTAACACATATATATGGAATCTAAAAAAAAGGAAAATTGTTCTGAAGAACCTAGGGGCAGGACAGGAATAAAGACGTAGACGTAGAGAATGGACTTGAGGACACGGGGAGGGGGAAGGGTAAGCTGGGACAAAGTGAGAGAGTGGCATGGACATATATACACTACCAACTGTAAAATAGATAGCTAGTGGGAAGCAGCTGCATAGCACAGGGAGATCAGCTCCGTGCTTTGTGACCACCTAGAGGGGTGGGATAGGGAGGGTGAGAGGAAGACACAAGAGGAAGGGGATATAGGGATATATGTATATGTATAGCTGATTCACTTTGTTATAAAGCAGAAACTAACACACCATTGTAAAGCAATTATACTCCAATAAAGATGTTTAAAAAAATAAATAAAGCCGGTTGATTAAGTTCTGGGGATATAATGTACATACCGTATGGTGACTATAGCTAACAGTACTGTATCACATATTTGAAAGTTGCCACAAAAGTGGATCTTAAAAGTTCTCATCACAAGAGAAATAACTTTGTAACTTTGTGAGGTGATGAATATTAACTCAACTTATTGTGGTGATCATTTCACAATATATACATGTGTCAAGTCATAGTGTTGTACACCTAAAACCAGTACAATGTTATATGTCAATTATATCTCAAAAAAACTGGCAGAAAAAAAAAAGAATAGATGCATACAGAAAAACAAAGCCAGTTGAATACTACTTTTTATGTGCCATAAAAATATAAACTGGCCAATGCTTTGGACCTTTTTAAAATTTAGATTAATGCTTTTAGATTTTCATGAGTAACTGAGTCGTTTACATCTTTAAATTTGTATCAGCATAAAGAGTTCAAAATGTCCTTTTAGAAAATCAAATGCCTCTCAAAGCTCTAAAATCAAGGGATTTCTTATCTGGTTTTGGCTAATAATGCAGGAAAAAAAAGAAATATATTTAGTTATATTTTCCCAGTAGTGAAGAGGTGGATTTTATTTTATTTTATTTTTTTTAAAGAAGATGTTGGGGGTAGGAGTTTATTAATTAATTAATTTATTTTTGCTGTGTTGGGTCTTCGTTTCTGTGCGAGGGCTTTCTCTAGTTGTGGCAAGCGGGGGCCACTCTTCATCGCGGTGCACGGGCCTCTCACTATCGCGGCCTCTCTTGTTGCAGAGCACAGGCTCCAGACGCTCAGGTTCACTAGTTGTGGGCCTAGTTGCTCCGCGGCATGTGGGATCCTCCCAGACCAGGGCTCGAACCCGTGTCCCCCGCACTAGCAGGCAGACTCCCAACCACTGTGCTACCAGGGAAGCCCTGGATTTTAATTTTTAATAGAAAAATTTATACCTCATTTCTTCCTCTTGAATCCAGCCCCTCACTTTAGCTGAATGAGTTCTTCAAATCCTCATTTTTGTGTGTGTATGTGTACAGAGCCCTTCAATTATTTCCAAAGAGACTACAAAATTGAAATAGTTTTTCATTAAGTTAAGCATGATGGAAAGTTCCAAAAAGTACTTGTGCGGTTTTTTTTTTTTTCAGGCTTCTTGATTTTTTTTTTAACATCTTTATTGGAGTATAATTGCTTTACAATGGTGTGTTAGTTTCTGCTTTATAACAAGCTGAATCAATTATACATATGTTCCCATATCTCTTCCCTCTTGCCTCTCCCTCCCTCCCACCCTCCCTATCCCACCCCTCTAGGTGGTCACAAACCACCGAGCTGATCTCCCTGTGCTATGCGGCTGCTTCCCACTAGCTATCTATTTTACATTTGGTAGTGTATATATGTCCATGCCACTCTCTCGCTTTGTCACAGCTTACCCTTCCCCCTCCCCATATCCTCAAGTCCATTCTCTAGTAGGTCTGTGTCTTTATTCCCGTCTTACCCCTAGGTTCTTCATGACCTTTTTTTTTCTTAGATTCCATATATATGTGTTAGCATACGGTATTTGTTTTTCTCTTTCTGACTTAAGTACTTGTGCATTTTTATTTATTTATTTTAAATATTTATTTATTTATTTTTGGCTGCACTGGGACTTCGTTGCTGCGCGCGGGCTTTCTCTAGTTGCGGCCAGTGCGGCCTACTCTTCATTGCAGTGTGCGGGCTTTTCATTGCAGTGGCTTCTCTTTGTTGTGGAGCACGGGCTCTAGGCGCGCGGGCTTCAGTAGTTGTGGCTCGCCGGCTCTAGAGCACAGGCTCAATAGTTGTGGCGCATGGGCTTAGTTGCTCCGCAACATGTGGGATCCTCCTCAACCAGAGCTCAAACTGTGTCCCCTACATTGGTAGGCGGATTCTTAATCGCTGCACCACCAGGGAAGTCCCTGTGCACTTTTAAAATATAAATGTATAGTGATTATCATAACTAATAAATTGATCTGGCTTAAGTCAGATTCCATTAATTAGAACCCTCAATCGATTTATCATGGATGTGTATATTTTGTTTTTGATTTATTTATTTTCTTCATTCTGCTTATAGAAGAAAAAGTCAAAGGACTAAGAAGGTAAATGGATGGTATTAATTTAGTAAACAAAAATTACCTCTTCAATGTTATATTGTTGGAATAGATATTTATGATGATAATCCTTTAGATTAACGTTCATAATAATGACTCTGTAGGACTGCAACTAAGAATTTAGAGAGAGGGACTTCCCTGGCAATCCAGTGGTTAAGACTCTGTGCTCCCACTGCAGGGGGTGTGGGTTTCCTTGGTCGGGGAGCTAAGATCCTGCGTAATGCGTGGTGTGACCAGAAAAAAAAAAAAATAGAATTTAGAGAGAACCTATTATGTATATAATATTGTATTAGGCACTCAGAAACAATAAAGATGGGAGATGTATGTGATAACAATAATTAAACATTTATTAAGCATTTATCATTAACTAAGTGCAACACTAAAGCATTATCTGCATTACCTCATTTAATTCACACAGAAGTCCTATGAGGAAGATAATATGAATTTTTTCCCCCATTTTACACATCTAGAAACTACCAGAGAAAGCAAGTAAAACATCACATAGGTAATTTAACATAAATTCGATCCTGAGCTTTTCATCAGTTGTACTAGTCATCATATTTTAGTACTTTCTTATCTTCCCCATTGTTTCCTTCCTACTGCTACTCTTAATTAAACTGTGTTGTGCATACTTCCATTAAAGCATTTATGTATTGTATGGGAATAATTTGCAGGTTTTTAAAAAAGTTTTCCCTTTCTTATTGGAACACAAGCTCCTTGAAGTCATGGTACAGACTTTTTCATATTTGTAGCATGGTGCCTGTCATCTAGTAGGAATTCAATAAATATTTGCTGAATAAATGAGTGGGTGTATCTGGGTCTATCATCTTTGTTAGATTATGACTGCCTTGAGGATAGGGAAATATCTGACTTGTGAATTCTTTACCCATAGTGATGACTCAAATTAATATTTTCTGAGTTGGATTAAGAGTTAAAATGAGTGCTATATTCAATAAACATTTTATTATTATAAAGATATTAAATTATAGCTATTAAGTCACGTTACCTAAGATATGAGAATACCATCACATCTTATGCAGGTGTTCAAAAGGATGGATATCATACCTTATAGGGTCTTCCAATTTTAAAAGAACATTGTTGGATTATTACAATAAATCTGAGAAATTAGGGATTCATTAAGTAAGGAAATTGACTGTCGGAAAGTTTGTGATTTGTCCGTATTCACAGAGCTTTCAGTAGCACAGCTGGGATGAGAACATAGGTCTTCTGACTATTAGTTTGGGTCCTTGCTATGATATTAAACTATTACACAGCTGACGTTTCAATGTATGAGAACTTTTAACTCCTCAAGTATTAGGTCATTAGGTTATTTTTGTTTTTAATATTTATTGAACACTTACAAAATGGTGGGCTCCTTTGTGAAAAATTGTATACATCTGTGCCATACTCCCAAGAAGCTTGACTCTCCCTAGAAAGAAGAAAAAAAGCAATCCTATATTGAAATGAATTGATATCACTTATTTTCTCTATAATCTAAACCACATGAAGAATCCAGCTCTGCTGCATAGATCAGAAATAGCTGGGAGTAAGTGAGGCATACGAAATTATGTGAGCAAATCAGTGGGATCCCAGATTCTCAGAAACTACTAGTTCCACACCCAGTCCATTATTACCCACCTGTATACAATGGATTTTTTTCCATTCCTTTGGCTCACTGAATCAAGAGCTCTTTGGTTGGGATTGCCAACAAAGGCCTCAGGCTTTTATGGAATGCCTACTGTAGGGCCAGCCTTATACATAATTTAAAAATCAGCAAATATTTGTTTATTTCCTGGGTGAAAACTCCTTACTACATCAGTCATTAATTTGAATTCTGCAAATAACAGGTTTTTGGGTTTTTTTCTGAATTAAACACTTCTGACTGCTCAAAATTTCAACATGTTTTTTAAACTACTCTGTTCCTATTACCCATTTTGGAAGGTGTGAATCTAGCACAGTGAAGCATAAGCAGTGTGCCAGCTGCTATAAATCTTTTGACTTCGTGGCTATCCACAGCCTTGTAATCTCTTTCCTCAGCAGGTATCTTCTTCTGAGCAAAACGATATAGTTTCCAAACAGACTTCTAAGAATATGCTTTCAACTATTTATAAGAGTTTTCACTTCAAAGATCCCATGATGTTCGAAAATAGATGACAGTGTTTTCGCTGACCTACCTGTATTCTGAGATAGAGGCAGCACTGACCCCACAAAGAATAAGGCAGTCCTTAGTGTGGGATTCAAAGGAAGATTCTAGTTTAGGAAAAGAAAGGCTCTGAAAAGCTTCCTGTCCCTGCCTTCAGAAATGTAACAGAGTTTTGAGCTTGTATCTGACTGGTTATTGTTAATAAAATAAGAAATTTTATCCTATGAAAGCAAGCATCTTGAAGCAATTGATCTTCTGCCAGTTATAAAATGTAAACTTCAGTCAACAAATAGCTAGATTTCATGCACTATCAATATTCAATTACTTTTTCCTGGCTCAAGAGAACCCTTCATGGGAACTGAGCTAGGATTAGGATTAGGTTGGGATCCTAACCTAGTTAGGATTAGTGCTTGCCATGAAACGGTGTTTTTTGTGTCAACATTAAGTTGCAATATGAGAACACCTGTGTAAGAATTTGCTTTCTGCAATTTAAAACCTGAAATGTTAAATCACCATGATTAATGAGAGTAATACACAGGCAGGCCCTTGGTAGTTCACTGGCATTATCATTGGAACAAATATCCATCTTTCTGGACTGTCCCTTACAAATTTTCCAAGGATAGTGTTATGTGATCTCTGCATCATTTCTCACATCTCTGTGTTTGGCTGTAGGAGTCTTGTCCATGAGTGATGTATAATATGCTCCACCCTGAAAATCTGCAATTTTATTTTTAAACCAGCACTTGCTAAATCTAAGAGGAACACTGAGTAAAAGAACATAAAAATAATTTTCAAGGGAAAGAGACAAGTGAAAAATACTTCTTTATCTCAACACTGAAAAGGAAAATAAATTTTGGAGTTTTTTGGAATTCTTTGAATTCAAACTAAAGGGAAAGCTTGCCTTCCTTTACCAATATGCTGGCAAAACAATATTTTTTATAGGTTTCCAGAGTTGGAATCTATCAAGTTCAATAGAAGAGGAACAAGGTAGAACATTTAAGCAGTGTTATTTAGGGTAGTGCATCATGGACTTTTTATTGTGATGCCACACATTGGAAATGAAAATATTTCTATTGCATTTTGGGTGAACAGACAACGTTGCTCCTGGCCAGAGGCTTCTGATATGGGGTCTTGGTCTACCTGGGCCCTGTACAGCTGCCCTGAGGATTGAAGGAAAAAATCAGTAACTCAACACATTAATGGGCCACAAACCAGCAGCTGGGAAGCAAGGTTGATTGATGCTAATATCTGGCTTTGGTGCATGTCTGTGGTTTCAATTTTCATTTTTCAATTTACATATAGGCACAGGAGTAAATGATGATAAAATCTGAACCCCAATGAGGATGACTTGATGTGGATCAAAAACCAAATTCTATAGAATCAAAATATGAAAGGTTGGAAAACAGCATGCAAAACAGTTTAAGGTCCTTACAGTTCTAAGTGTTGAGAAGTTATCAAAACTTTAAGCAAATCAAGAAATTAGTTAAGCATTTATTATCATCAATTCACAAGGTCATTAACCCCATAGGATGTCTAAATTGATTGTAACTACTTTTTTACATTGACAGTAGCCCTGCAAGGAGGAAGAAGGATTAAATTTAGGCAAATAGGTTAAAAAATTTTCGGGGGCTTCCCTGGTGGCGCAGTGCTTAAGAATCCGCCTGCCAATGCAGGTGACATGGGTTCGAGCCCTGGTCTGGGAAGATCCCACATGCCGCGGAGCAACTAAGCCCATGTGCCACAACTACTGAGCCCGTGTGCCTAGAGCCCATGGTCCACAACAAGAGAAGCCACCACAATGAGAAGCCCGCGCACCGCAACGAAGAGTAGCCCCCACTCGCCGCAACTAGAGAAAGCTGGTGCACAGCAACGAAGACCCAACGCAACGAAAAATAAAAAATAAATTAAAAAAAAAGTTTTCTGTAAAACTGCTTTAGATCTGTTTTAAATCTTTAGTAAATTTTTAGTTGCAGTGTTGTTTAACATGGTTTGTTCTGAAAGAGATACAGATTTTGAAGCCAGATTTTGACAAAAATTGAGTTTATGTGATTCAGACATTAGTATTAAGAGATCTCGGGTCTTCCCTGGTGGCACAGTGGATAAGACTCCGTGCTCCCAATGCAGGGGGCCCGGGTTCGATCCCTGGTTAGGGAACTAGATTCCACATGCATGCCGCACCTAAGAGTTCACATGCCACAACTTAAGGAGCCCGCCTGCCGCAACTAAGACCTGGTACAACAACAACAACAAAAAAACCCCACAGAGATCTCTTGGTTGTTCAGTGGATCCCTGGATGCAAAATACAGCTGGTCTCTTTTTTACTTTCTGAGAATGGATGACTTTACACATATTTGGATAAGAATCAGAGTTAGGAATCATTTGTTTGCATGTGTAGAAAACACACTCAAACTGCTTAAACCAAAAAGAAACTTCATTGGCTCATATAATTGAAAAGTCCACTGGGAGAAGCAGCTTTAGGCATGGCTTGATCTGCTGGTGTCCACAATTTGACCAGGTTCAGGTTCTTCTCTCTTCAGTTCTTTGCTTGGTTTCTTTGTTAACTTCATTCTAGGCAAGACCTCCCCTTGTGGTCCTAAGATGACGACCAGTTATTGCAGAGACTACATGCTTCCTATCCATAGCTGATAGGAATAAAGCATATTTGTCCCAGAATTCCCAAGAAATCAGGCTGGATTAAGTCACACGCTCACCCCTGACCCAATCACTGTGGCCAGAGAAGTGGAATGCACTAATTACTTAGCGTAGCTTCAAATTCCTCCCTCGTAATCTCCAGTGTGATGCCAATGAACTACCTAAATCACCAAATAGGAATTTGTGACTGTTAGAATGGTGAAAATGGAGGCTGAAGACATAATCAGTTACATGAAGAATCTTAGAAATAGAAGGAGACTTTAGAATCTTTAACCAAACTTTCTGATCTAGCCAAACAACCAATTTAGCCAAACTGACCAAACTTCACAAAACATTAATGCAAAAAATAGTCATTTAGTCTCTGCAGGTACCACTTGTGACAGTGAGCCACCATAGCCTGTGTGACTTTTGAACAGTTCTACTGGAAAGGCCTTCTTTACATTGAGCATAAATTTGCTTCCCTTTCCTTTGTGCTTTATCCATTGAACCCTGTTTTACCGCTGTGGCCACAAAGAGTAAATTAAATTCTTCTTTCATATTACAGGCTTTCTAATATATATTAAAGTAGTTAAAATAGTCATCCTTAGTCTTTCTTTTCTAGGCTCAACATCCCACATTCTCTCATCTGTTATTGACGTTGAAGGAGTTAAAACACCCTCATTCTTTTGGCTTCTCTTCTTTGTATGAATTCTGGCTAGTCAATTCCATACTCAGACACACAGTTCCATACACTGACATAGAGACTCCCCATGTGGCCATTGGGAAGTGGTTTACTGCATATGTATAAAGATACTGAGGAAAAGAAGAATAAATCTTGTAGATAGTCACTTTAATAGCAGTCTGTAGAATCAGTCTCAGAACTGATTACCTAAACTGAAATATCCACAGCCAGAATGTGAGCAAAAAGTATGGTTTGGAACATGATTTCTCTAATCTCTAACCATTAATATTGGGCTTAATTACTTATTTTGTTGTTGTAGGCTTGACTTTTAATTATTTTAATGTTATGAATTATTAGTATTTTAACAAATAAGCGCCTAGTAATAGATAGTATTTATTAATATATATTGATTTTGTGATTTACTTTATATATATATATATTTTATATTTATATAAAATAGTATACGTATAATATATACTATTTTGTTTTCAAAGATAATTCTTTTTATTTTCCCATAAAAATGAATGAGAAAATATTACATCAACATACTTGGTCAGATTCTATTTGTCATTTGAACTGTGAGTTCTGTCCTAACTGTAAATGTTCTCCAGCAGGGTAACAACTTCCCAGGATCTCCAACTTGACACATGGGTAAGGGAAATTGGAGAGACGATGCCCCCGCTGTTCCTTAGGGGTAGGCAGCTTTCTCCCACCTCTTTGTCCATCTCTCACACCCAGAAACACTGAGGAAATTTAGTTACACTTACAACCTAATACCACTAACCAATACCGTTAAGTCCGTGATCTCCCTCTCTTCTCCCTTTCAGGAAATATTTGCCCTGTTATTAACTCTGAAAAGGGCTGGTCCCCATCAGACACAGGAGAAGTAGAAAGGAGTTGAACACTGAGCTAAGGAAAGCCTCTGATGAGGTTTCTGGAACTCCTCCCTCTTCAACCAATCCACCACCAGGTC